TTCTTTGATATATCCTAGTTTTACATATTAAAATCCTTGCGTATTAGTCAACTTTTACGAACTATAATGCAATAGTCATAAATATTGTGTTATATGATAAAAATATTTTATACGGAAACATATCTGTTGTTCAACAGATTTCCTTTCCGATTTTATTCTCAATATTAATTGAATAATTTATTCTAATAACAATAATAATAATAATAATTACTATTCTAATTATGATTTGTCAATTGTCAATGATTATATTAGAACAGTTTTATTAAATTGTGTTTACACATTATGTTATCCTTTTTTTTATAAATTAAAATGATTAATCTAATTTATACGGTGTTATTTTCGAAAAATTGTGTGAACTATAACTCGATGGTATATCATGGAAAAGAAATTGTAGAGACACTGACAAATATTTGATAAGAAAGAGAGAAACTTCAGTTACAAGTGTTGTCACTGGAAATAAAAAAAAAACCCATTAACACGTAAGAGAACTTGGACGGTAATTAGCGGACTGTTTCATGTATGTATTACGGTGAAATTTTCCCCATAGCAATGAGAGAAAGATATACATATATACATATACATACACTTATATAAATCTTTGTTTTCAAAGTATATATCTCTTGTAGTACAACTTGTTCAGATGGTTGTTTTTCTGCAAAGTATTGTTTTTTTTTCTTATTGTTATATATATATGAACTAAATGAAAAGAATGAAAAAAATAAAAAAGGAAAAAAAAGGGGTTAGAGTTAAAGAGATATTACATACACGTAGAGAAGGGTAGCACATGTGAGAAACTTTCAAGCGGGTTAGATAAAAAAAAAAAAAAAAAATAAAATGAGAAAAAAAAAGTTTCTCGTTTAGAATTTTCTATAAAACGGCTAGGGAATAAGAGAGAGAAAGAGAATGGTGTATAGTTTACGAAAGAAGATATGCGACAGATGCCGTTTTACGCGTTTAGAATCTGGTCTCTGTAGAAAACTTCGCTTATCATTGTACAATATCTCTCTCTCTCTCTCTCTCTCTCTCTCTCTCTCTCTATGAAGACAAATTTTTATTCACTCTTGTCAACGACAAATTTAAATTCTAAACATTTCATGAAAAAAAAAAGAAAGATAAAAGATTAGATGAAAAAAAAATTGAATAACAAATAAATAAGCAAACATTGATTTTAATCAAATAAATGATGAATTTTTCTTTTCTAAGTTTGGTTTACATTTTCTTTCTTATATACAGTGGATCAAATAAGTATTGGCACATCACAATTTTTGTTAATATTTGTAATTATTGAAGTATATTGCTGACACCATGTATGTCATTTTATGTCTTTAGAATTTTTGCTATTATTATTATTATTATTAAGTAATATACTTTGGTATACAACTAGTGTACATTAAAAAAGACATAAAATGACATACATGGTGTCAGCAATATTCTTCAATAATTAAAGATATTTACAAAAATTGTGGTGTGCCAATACTTATTTGAT